CCAAGATTTAGTCAATTGGGTTTTCATATTTTCCCCATATCCTTACATAGAGGTTTTCTTCTAGTTAAGCTAATGTTAGGGTGGCATATGTTGGTGCCCATTTTGTTTCCATTGCAGTACCTCGGGTTTGGATATAGTTTATAGTTGTCAAACTCAAAGGTGTTATTTTTTTAGAATTAGGTCTATACTATCGAGAATGAACTCATTAGTGAATATGGAATGTAGTATTTCTGGATGTTTTTCAGTCCAGAATGAGATTGCCTTTTTACCTAATTCATGGAATATGTTGCTGTATAGGCTACTAATGTCAAAAGTTGTCATAAGTGTTCCCGGGTCTACTTTTATACACTACACTTCAAAAGTTTGAAGCGAACCCCAGAATTAGCATGGGATGAATATGACAGAAGAGTGAAAATAAAAAAAAATAAATGAAAAAAGAGCTCTTAGAGTCATTGAATTAAAGAATGGAATCAATTATCAAAGCGTCCTAGGTATGACGATAAACTGCATCCGCGTCCTGGGTAAGACGATGTCCAACAGCAATGCCTCTGATCATGAGGTTTTGAGGAGCGTAGAACCTCCTCTTAATTTCTGGTGTTCCTAGGTCTACCCTGACCCGGGGTGGTAGCACCTGTTAGGGTCCCAGCTATGGGCAAATAGTTGACCCCACAACCTAACTCAAAACACTATGAAAGTGTAAAAATAGATTTTAATACCAGAAATACTTGAAAAAAATTAGTATCAGCAATAAATGTTTGAAATAAGACAATATTACCAGAAATAAAAATCTTGTCATTGATGTTAATATGCCACAAAACAAAACAAACCAAACTTTTTAAAAAATATTACCAGCTATACATTTTTGAAAGGCTTTGTCGGCATTAAATAAACCATTGTGGCTTATATGCCATAAACCAAAACAAACCAATTATCAAACTTTTTTTTTTGAAAAACTTTTACAACGAATGCCAAAAATTTGTGCTGCAGTAATCAAGGATAAAGGATATTTTGACGAGAGCAAAGTTTAGTCATAATTTTTTTTGTCATAACAAAATTTCTAATAAAAAATCATGTCTCACTTCTTTTTAACTGTGTATAATAATTTTCTCTTATTTAAAGTACAAAGCAGCAACTTTTGGAGCCAATTTAAAAGATTACCAAGGGTGACCCCAGATTTTGAACTGTAGTGTATATTGTTTAATTGATTTGTTTATTATGGCTTATCAAATAGTTTTAGGTTTTAAGAATGTTTTGCAGATAATAATTATTTTTACCGATGCAAGTCTTACTAATTAACCCATAGTTGGGTACTTGCACGTAAATGAATATAACAGAGTCGGCTAGAATTTCAATTCCGAGCTGTTATCCATCCACACACACACACACACACACACACACACACACACACACACATATATATATATATATATATATATATATATATATATATATATATATATATATATATGTATATATATATGTATATGTATGTATGTATATAGCTGACATCTTTTCCGCAATCGCCAACGATGGCCTATGTTCCATTTTAAAATGACATGAGAAAATATCTCACCCACCTCCACCATCTGGGCTTACTTATTTAGCGTAGATCTGTCATTTAATTGGTTAATCAGGACATACCCACAAGTCTATTTTTAATTCGCACCTTATGTCCCCCTCCTTTAAATTTCGGAAAAATCCATCACACACACACACACACACACACACACACACACACACACACACACACACACACACACACACACACATATATATATATATATATATATATACACTTTTTCTATCTTTGATTCCGCCATAGATGCTACAAACTTTCTGGCTCAACTTCATTCTCTCCATACATCTCTTAAGTTTACAATGGAGGTTGAGAAGGATAGGACACTTTCTTTTTGGATGTCCTTGCTAAACGTAAGGACGGAGTTTTCGTTACAAGAGTTTTTCATAAGCCCACATTCACTTGTCTATACACGAGTTGGAATTCGTTTGTGCTTAAATCCCGTAAGATTGATCTGATTGCGACCTTGGTTCATCGCGCTATCATGATTTGTTCCCCTAAATTGTTAGATGTGGAACTTACTACTATTCGGAATATTTTCGAAAGTAATGGATATCCCATCAATGTTATCAGGCGTGTTATTGATAGCAAAATCAGGCGGTTTAGGGAACCTGTGGTTTTTTGGACCTAGCCGTTGCCCTATCTATTTAAAATTACCTTGACTTGATAGGAAATGTCAGTTATTGTCTGACAGAATTTCTGCGTCTATTTCGTCTCGTTATAATGTAGTTAAGTTTCGCACAGTTTTTCAAACTAGACCTGTGTTTCCGTCCTTTACTAAAGATAGGTTGTCCTATTTTCAGAAAAATTTAGTTGTATACAAGTTCAAATGCCGTCGTGAGGCGGTGTACATAGGATAAACCAATCTAAGGTTGGAGACGCGGGTTGCGCAGTATGTTCCCGCCTATTTGCGTTCTGGTAGTCATAGCCAGTTTATAAGAAGAACTACTCAGGCGGTCGATGTATCTGCCATCGGTCAGCATTTGCTCGACAACCATGCTTGTGCCTCCGATTATGAAGAAGCTTGATTTTCAGTATTACACAGTGCTCGCTCAGTATACCATCTTCGAGTCTTGGAAGATGTTTTTATAAAGCGTCATCAGGCGAGCCTGTGTAGAAAAAAAGGAACATTTTTTTACGTTCCTTGCGGTTGTTGGAGGGTTTGTGAGTGTCTTGTTTTCGATTTTATACTCTTGTGGAACTTGTTATTTTCACCCCACCCCTGTTCAATTTTAATTGTGTGTAATTAAAATTTCTCTTTTAATCACCTTTCCCTCCTCAGTTACTTTATTGAGTGTGTCTTCATTTATATTCCCAATCGCCAACGAATACCTTTGAAAAAGTGTTGACCGAAAGGTTCCTAAGGTATGACGTCTGTGTCGTTTAAATATATAATATATATATATATATATGTATATATACAAGTATATTGATATATACGGAATAAATTCCAATAACGAACAATTACTATTCTTAAAAGACTGCTCAATAAAGAGTAGAGCAGATATAATTATTTATTTAACAATTATATCACAAATATGTTATAAAATCGCTACAAAAATAGCCATTTTGTTTCATATATATATATATTTATTATATATATATATATATATATATATATATATATATATATATATATATATATATATATATATATATATATATATATATATATATATATATATATATATATATATATATATATATATATATATATATATATATATATATATATATATATATATATGTATGTATGTATAGTAAAGGTAATAAATCTGTTGGTATATAATCCAAGTGGATTCTAATAATATCAAATATTAAAACTGATCCACAAAAAGAGCTAAATATATTGAGCTTTTTATTGTGGATCAGTTTTAATCACAGAGCAAATAATTAGTATACAATAAAATCCAAAATTACGTCATATAGGCTTATTTCAACCGACGAGATTCGTCGGTCTTATTCAACCCCGGTATAGAACGAGTTCATGTTGAAATTAGAAATTTAACTGTGACAGACACCAAAAAAAAACCCAAAAAAAACAACAAAAAAAAATTAATCGAAAAAGTAATACATATTTTATCAATTTCAATGTTTCAGTCAGACGAAAGGCACGAGACAGTGATCAGGGGAGGATGGAAGGGATTAGCCATAAAGGGAAGAGATTTTATCAAATTAAACTCGGATATTAGCCTTATGATATTAAATTGAGGTTATATGAAGAATGAAAGTTGATTTGAAACTAAAATAGAAACAAAGAAGTTTTTTAAAAATTAAATTATATAGATAAAGTTATATTTATTAATAAGATATATTTAAATAAATTACAAATAAGTCATATTTAGATAATTTGTATTAAAATTAAGTAAAATTATA